CTCGATAGGTTTATGCTGTCAGTGGCCCTGATAAACCCAACAAAGTTTTAGTTTTTGCCCCCGAAGGGGCTAGTTTATTGTGCACCTCATTTCCAACCTGTTGACGGTATTGCAAAAACATATGGGTACACAGAGGGCCTAGAAACTATGCCGAAAAGGATTAGCAGGTGTACATTTGGATTTATATCTACTTATCTATAGTTCACTTACCTGTTACAACAAATTTAGGAAATTTGCTTAGTATATCTGGTATCTTATTTCATTAATAAGATATCTTGACATGTCACATAGGTTATTATACTGTTTATCTCTGTATTCCTCAATAAGTGGACAATTAAGCACACAGTGTTCAAGACAGTGGCCATATACCTGATCACATAGGTGGCCCGGTGGCCTGGTGGCTAAAAGCTCCCGCTTCACACACGGAGGGCCCGGGTTCGATTCCCGTGCTGGTGGAAACATTCGACACGTTTCCTTACACCTGTTCACCTAGCAGCAAATCGGTACCTGGGTGTTTAGTCGACTGGTGTGGGTCGCATCCTGGGGGACAAGATTAAGGACCACAATGGAAATAAGTTAGACAGTCCTCGATGACGCACTGACTTTCTTGGGTTATCCTGGGTGGCTAACCCTCCGGGGTTAAAAAATCCGAACGAAATCTTATCTTATCTTACATTTAGTTTGATCATCATCTGTGTGTCTCCCAAACTGCCAGAAGTGCTTGTAACCAAGCCTAGGTCTGGCCACTTCAATATCAGTCAGTGTTCACATTGCAAGTTGCTCCATAAACATACTTATCTACTTTCATGTTATCATAGTGGGTTATAGATCTACTCAGACTTCTAACTGCATTCCTATAACAATCATTTCATTATTTACTTCTCTCCTAATATTATTCCTAATGCTAGACACGGATATACCGAAGTTACATTCTACATTCTCCTTCAGGGTACTCTTCTTGGTTAACAAACCCAACAAAGAAAGAAATAGACAAGACAAGAGAGTTTAGGTAAGACTCTTGTGGGGTGAGAGGGATGTGGGGATAGGGAAAGAATAGGTTGGTGAGAGGTAGGTTATGAGTGTTAGAGATAGTACCAGGGCTTAATCCAGTAGCTAGACGATCGTGGGACTGATGACTGGTGTAGCAGCGAGGATTTGACAAGGCAAACTGATTTGGTGAGCGTCGAAACACACACACACACAAGGTACCTGTGAGAAATCCACTGGGGAAGTATAGGGATATGGAGTGGAGAGGGTTTAAAAACAACAAGTCTTTCAAGGTCCACACCTGTTAAGACAGACTAAAAGAGAGAGGAAGGGACTTCTGTGCCAGCCTTCGTTGGGCGTGTACGTCTCTCTCTCGCCTGAGTATAGTGATAATTTTCCCCCATTCTCTCTGGGACACTTGTCCTCATCTATTTTTACCCGCCGGGCACTTTACTGGAGGGGCACCTGTCATCGGCTTACTTTTAGCCAGCTCCATTTTTTGCTCTGCAGATAATTCTCTAATGGCGTTCGCTCTGCTGGTGCTTGGCAAGGTGCTCCACCTGATCTAATTGGGAACTTCTAGCTCCTGTTTCTAATTAAAAAGGAACTCATGGCCTAGCTTTGGGCAAAAAAATCTTCCCGGTACATCGGGAAGTCGGGCTCGATACGGCGTAAGCTGTTAGTGTCCCTATACACCCCAACAACAACAGTACGGCGTCATTGGCCCTATAAACCCTATCAACAATACCAGTAACCCTATAAACTCTAAGAAGAAATTTTTGATTTTCCCTTGAATAATCAATGCTATTTGCTTGTAATACTAGCCAATTTGGGTGTCCTAACATCTAAGTGTCTCGTTTATCTTACAGGTCAAGAAAATATTTAGTAAAACCTCGAAGATTAAACCAGAGAGGAAGATCTCGTAAAAACTGGAAGATGATAATTCAAAGAGGAAGACTTCGTAAAGCCTTGATGATGTTAAACCAGGGAGGAAAACCTCATAAAACCTCGAAGAAATTAAACCAGAGAGGAAGACCTTGTAAAACCTCGAAGACATTAAACCAGAGAGGAAGACCTCGTAAAGCCTTGAAGATCTTAAACCAGAGAGGAAGACCTTGTAAAACCTCGAAGACATTAAACCAGAGAGGAAGACCTCGTAAAGCCTTGAAGATCTTAAACCAGAGAGGAAGACCTTGTAAAACCTCGAAGATGTTAAAGCAGAGAGGAAGACCTCGTGAAACCTCGGAGATATTAAACCCAAATGGAGGACTTCATAAAATCTTGAAGATGTTGAGCAAGAGAGGAAGATCTCATAAAACCTCGAGTTTATTAGATCAGAAAGGAAAATCTAATAAAACCTCGAAGATATTAAACCAGAGAGAAAGTTCTAGTAAAATCTTAGAGATGTTAAACAGGAGAGGAAGAGGCATTTGTTTACATCTCTTAAATGAGGGTAAGTTTTATATATGTAGCAAAAATATGTCATTATTCAGTTTTCTAGTATATTGTATGTCATTATTCAATTATCTAGTATTTGTCATTCAGTTACAGTGGAACCTCCACTTGCGAGTGCATCCACGTGCAAGTTTTTCCAAATACGAGCAGTCGCTTGGTTGATTTTTTGCTTTCATACGCGAGCGAAATTTCTGTAAGCAAGTGGGCCTCAAGGGAGGTTCCTTGATGCTGGTGAGGGGTTCTTGCTCTTGATCTAGGGAATTGGATCTCAGTTGTTTGTTAGACTATCTTATTGAAACTTGGGCAATGTATGATGGAAAGATGCTTCTTAACGCACACCTAAAATGAAAGAAATCGGACCATAAATAATGGAGTTCACTTCTCAGTCATTGGCCGCCCCTTAGCGGTATTTTCGTATGGTTTTTATGGTTGTATTCTCGTTTTTTTGGTCTCATTTGATAGAATAGAAGATATATTACAGAAGTACATATGATTTTGATTGGTTTCACTATGAAAAGTACCTTGAAATTGAGCTCAAAGTAGCAGAAATGTACGATTCTTTGGCAATGTTCAAGAGTAAACAAATGACATCATTGTCCATTCCAATACGCAGTCATGAATGGGTTGACATTATTTATACAATTATTACAATAATGCAGTAGTCTGCATAACAGTAAATCTTCTATTTTTTGTGTGAATAAAAATTACAAATTATTTATATTGTAATAATAATAATAATACATATAATAATAATAGTATAATAATATAATATAATAATAATATAATATGTATAATAATAATGTACTATATAATAATAACTATAATAATAGCTTCGAAAGGCCGTCACTAGATGTTAGTGATTACCACAACAAAGATGGAGTGGCTGTGGTCGCCTCCACCTGTCACATAATGACATATTTTATTCATTCTATAGTATATATCAGTTTCTATGTTATTTGCATTGTTTATTATGTCATATTAGATGAATTGTGATAGATAAATGAACCATAAAGTTGATATTAGGGAAATTATTGTTGTGCCTGAAATTCCACGGGAATGGATTAATTCCTTTTCACTTATTTTAAATGAGGAAAATTTGCAAACAAGCAAATCCAGATGTGTGAGCAAGGTCACGGAACGGATTAAACTCATAGGTAGAGGTTCCACTGTATCTAGTAGGGAAAGGGCCCCAATTTTCAATTATCAGTATTTGTCATGATTCAGTTTTCTAGTATTGTTTTGCCCATGATTCGTTATTAGTATTTTTAAGTCTTTTATTCATTTAAATCTAGTTTTGGGATTTTCATTTTTCCCAGTTATTTAGTATTTTTATGTCATTATTCGTTATTAGTATTGTTTTTTAAAATTTTTTAGTTATCTAGTTTTGGGTTGGTCATTTTCAGTTATCTAGTATTGTAGGGCTTTTTTCGTTATCTAGTATTGTATGTCATTATTCAGTATCTAGTATTTCCCATTTTTTCAGTTACCCTAGTTTTTTATGCCATTATTCAGTTTCCAGTACAGTATTTGTAAATTTTCATTTATTAGTATTGTAGGTCTTTTATTCAATTATCCAGTTTTTGGGTTTATTCAGTTATTGGTATTGTGGTAATTATTCAATTATCTAGTATTGTATGTCATTATTCATTTTATTGGGTATTGTATGTCTTTTATTCAGTTATCTGGGTATGTCATTAGTCAGTCATTTTTCAGTTTCGGGAAATTTTTATGTCTTTTATTAAATTATCTAGTATTGTAGGTCTTATTCCTTTAAATTGTACAGTATTGTTTGTATTATTTAACTGTATAGTATTGGACTATTTGGTAAACCCCCCCATTAAAAGATGCAAAAACTTCCTATAAGATTAGCACTTTCCCTAGCTGAAAATAAGGGGTTTTAAAACATAAAAAAGGACCTAAATATTATATATAAGACCTAACCCAGGTTATAGGTGCTAGATTTAACACAACATTTAAAAACCCATTATTAGTTCAAAAACCTCAACCTTTCCCAAGAGGAAGTCTTGATGATTCAGGGCACTTTGATACCAACAGGATGTTTGAGTTGGCCCTCCTTTTGTAAATCTGGGTATCTCTATGTTGGAGATGTTTCCCCATCCAGTGATTGACCCGGCAAAATTTACATGGTGGACATGATCTGAAAAAATTGTAGAAATATATACAGAAGAAAGGAAGAAGAGGAAATCAGCCCCTCATTTCCAAAGGGAGCAGGTGATGAGCACCATATTTTATACCATGAATTTTCAACTTGTCAGTTTACAGCAACTCATCCCAATCTTGGACGGGAGGACTTTTTTACAACGTACTTGTAACTTGACCCAACTCTTGGGTATGATTACAAATTGGGGACAGTCCCTTGTCTGCTGAATCTATCTAAACTCCGGGAATTTTTAATCCCCCCAAGTTTTACTATTATATCTTGTTTATAATCATTACCAAAATTTTTTTAAAGGGGTGGCCCGGGTTTAAAGCAGGGGAAAGGGCCTGGTCAGATAAACCAAAAAAGCCCAGCTGCGGGTTTTCATATAAACTAAGACCCGCATCGGGAAAAATGTTTTGTTCTGTCTCCTGTGAACTAAAAACCTACCCCCGATTTTCCTGCCTGTGCTTTCAGATTCCCCAAAAGGATTTCCCAGTGCTCAAAACTTTCCCCTAGGATGAGGGACTGTTTAAATTTCCATTTTTACTGTCTTTGTAAAATAGTTATACAGTATTCAGATTTTTTCCATGTATTGGATTGATTAAAGAAAAGGAAATGGTAAAAAAACATTACAAAAAAATAAACCCCAAAGATGTTGCACTGTGTCTGACTCTTTGGGGGATCCCCTTGGATTTTGGGGAAGGTCCATCCTTACCTTCCTTTTATCAGACCAATTTAACCCATCCTTTCCGTCCTCAGTGTTTTTTCCCTTTAAACCCTTTTCTTTATAATTTAATAAAAAACAAAACCTAACATTATATTAAAAATGCATACATGTTTCAGAAAAAAACCCCACAATTATGCAAGCTTTTTAGGGCCAGACTGATTCAAAAGATTTTTTTTTTTAAATACTGGAAACTCCAATGAGGCGGGGTGCCCCCAAAAAAAGGAAAAAAAACATTTTCCCCACCCTTTCACTCCATCCTGTCTTGCCAGAGGGTTTATACTACAGTTAAAAAGCTGCAAATTTTTCACCCCCTCCTTACATACTACTTAATTCTAGCCCTAGTTTTAAATCTTAGGCAGTGGATGACAGTACAGTAAGTGGGACCCTTGTATTGGGGAGGGTCGTTTAAAGGGAACCCTGCGTGGATACTAAAAACTGTGGATAGTAGAAACCCTATGTTAAATCCTTTACTACTTATTATAAATTTTAAATTTGATAAAAATTATGCATTTTTAATGGGGGAAATTATCCTTTTTCATTGATGGGAAGCACTTCACAGCTTTCATAGGCTTTAAAGAACTGTGGGGCTTCCTACTTTTTTTGGTTTTGGGGGTCTTTAAATTATGCAAAATTTAAAAGAGGTTTTTTTGGGCCACAGTAAACCATGGAAAAATTTAAAACTGCGGGTCCCCAATCATTTAGATTGAAGGTTTTGCTGTATTAGTAATTCATTCCAGTCGTAAGGTGGTTGATATTCGGGCCTAACACTGGTTTAGCATATTATTTTTTTACAGTGGTCCCTAAAATAATCTTTCCGGCCTGAAAGTGCCCAGATTCGGAAATAGCCCCATTTTTTTGTCAAAAACATTGGCTCCCCAAGGGTTTTTTTAACTCGCTATCGTCTTTTCCTGGACGAAATTTACCCCAGGGGCTCTGAGCCCCCGTGCCCTTCCCTTCCCACCCAGGGTGCCATTGTTTACCTGGGGACGGTCCCCCTCAAATTTTCCTACGAAATATTTCATAATTTCCCATTAATTTTATTGCTTGCAAGTGCTAAATAAGCTCCCAATGGCCCCAAAAGAAAGCTCCTAGTCCCAAGCCTTTGGTAAAGAAGGTGATACCCAAAGGGAAAAGGAAATCAAAGAAGTGTTGTTCCCAAAGGGGGAAAAATATGCGGGACAAAAATGAGATCACCAGTACTTGAAGATTTGAAAGTTTTTTATTGGTGTGGAAAAACAAGAAAAAAATTTACCCGGCCCTTTAGTCTTATGACGTCCCCTTATTTTGGGGAAAAGGCTAGGCTTTGGGCATGAGGGTTTTGGGTTTTAAAGAAATTGCCGGGCAACTAGGGGTGAGGTGAGGTTTTTAAAGGCCAGCAAAGGCGGTTTTGGGGGAGATTTTTAAGGGAAGCGAAAGGGCTTTAACACAGTGGGGATAAGGCATGGTGGGGGCTGCCAGATTTCACCCCCAAAAAGGGGCCCCTTAAAAAATAGTGCGGGAATTCAAGGGAACATAGAAGCTAAAGGCCCTAAAAACCTAAAACAATTTTTTTTTAAACTGTGTAAAAACAGGCCTTTTTTTGGGAAGGAAAATGCCAAAGAGGACCTACATTACTAGGAAGAAAGGCACTCCCAGGACAAAAACCCTATAAAAGAAAGGTGATGCTCATGTTCTGTGTTTAATGCAGTGGGGATTTCAAAGTCAAGCTGCTATTTAAGTCCCCATTCTAAAAATTTAAAAAGAGGGGTTAAAGAAAAACAATGTTATGAAGAGTAAATTGTGGTTTTTTGGGGAAAAATTAAATTAAAAAGGCTTTGGGTAAAAGGGGGACTTTTTCCCGTCGATGGTTCAATGAAGTGTTTGGCCCTAGTGTGAAGAATTACCCCCCGGAAAAAGGAAATTTGGGATCTAAAGTCCCTCTTAGTAATGGACAATGCACCTGCTCATCCTCCAAATTTGGGATAAACCCAATTCTAAAGGGGTTTTGGGGTTTCATAAAAAACAGTAAAGTTTTCCCCCCGAACCCCAACCCCCTTTCCTTACCCCATGGACCGCGGGTCATTTAAAATTTTTTAAAAAACTACAGCAAAGCAATTTTTAAAAAGGTGTT